GTAAAATAGGCCTGGGGATAATACAGAAGATCTTATAGAAATCAATTGAGCTGACATTTCCCTCAGATCTACACATACATACAGACATTTATATACACATTTCCAAAAAACATCGTATTTTCGCATTTCATGACGATTCCCATAATTTCCAGGCAAAATTAGAAAATCGTAAAAATTCCATTCCATTCGGAAGAAAAAATCGAATAAGAATCGAGAAATATTGTTGCTCTATAATGTGATTATTTTTCTCAACTATCACCGTAAATCCACCCAACCAGCGAAAGACGATAAAGTATAAGTGAATGAAAAAAATCATGCCGTCCTTTTTTTTTATTCCCGTAGTGCCGCAGTTTTTATTTACTCCGTGTACGGTCTCATCTGGAAAATGGGAACGGAAACGAAAAAAGAAGCGAGCACAAAATGAAATCATAAATGCAGACATTGGACGAAAAGGGGTGAAACGGGTATGCTGAGGGGCTAGAGGGAGGATCAAATTCCAGGAATCGAAAGGAGAGGTGGAGGCGGAGGTGAATCATAATGGGATTACCGTGCGACTCAAATCGCATTCGGCTGGAATTGAGTTTGCGGTTGGTGGAATGAAATGGCCGACCTCTCTGTGACCGTTGCAATACACTTCCATAGTAGACAGCTTAGGTTGCTACCAATCGGAAATTCAAAAGAAAAGAAAGTAAACAAATAGGTAAATGCAAAGTACATTTGAGGTATTGGATTCTCCAGAATGGAAATATCTCATTTGAAGCAAAAATTCAACATTTTTTTAGGAAAAATTTGACAAAATGCGGCTAGATACGACAGTTGTCTTCATGCTTCAGTACTCTTTTTTTCACGATTGACAATTCTATCACCTTTATATTTTTGTTTCTGTTCCAGATCATCAACAACTTATCGGAAATAGAATATATCATATCCCAATATGAGATGTAACGCGAAAGCCTGCGACCACTTAACTTGTTAACCAAGAAATAATCACTTCTACTGTGTTGATTCTCCGTTGGAATGGAGATTCTTTCCGAAAACTCCTCACTCTATGTATATTCTTCACATTCCACGAGTATATCCGATGCACACATTTTTATCATTGAACTACATTGAGGGAAAATATGACCTAATATTATACAGACAATTTCGTGAGTAAATTCTTTTGTTGTATACCCACTATTTTACTAGAAATACTTTCTCAAAACCTAATTTCCCTGTCCAGACGTCCACCAAATATTTCCATTCTAAAGATCCTTTTCCCTCAAATATTTTATTACGCTTTTATTATTTTAATCCCGAAAACTCCAAAAACCCAGACGAAAGGTTTTATTATCCTTTTCCTAGAACTCCTCATCGAGTCACACCTCCCCCGTACCTCCGTTAGTCCAGCCCTCAGTGGTCATCCCTCACCTAAACTAACCAATCACCCACTTTTGGGCCTTTCTCCCTGCAGTTTCTCCAACCACTACTATCTACCCTCAGAAGACTCTAAGTAAAACATCTCTGTACTCCAATCATATCATAATTATTCCAACACTCAAGGAAGTAACATCTGTTCAGGAAGATGTCCAAAGTTACCAATATTGTACTTGTGTTTAAGTCTCTAAGAATAAAGATTTCGTGTTTAATTTGAAGTAATTTATTTCTTCAATCCGGAATCCAACACTTTGTTCTGAAAATTCAATTCATGTCTTCTGAAATCTATAAATATTCAATGAAACACGATAAAAGGAGACATTGCAATGAATTCATGGAAAAAGCAACGAAAACCTAGTATGTACGAAAATGGCAATGACGATTTTAATTCAAAGGTCACGATAAGGGCATATCGGTTGACTCCGAGAGTGTTCCAATGTATTATGCAACGTGGCGGGAGTGCTTCCCTAGACAGAGTTTCCCTTTCTTTCCCGGTTCTCCTGCTTCTCTTTCTACTTTTGCTTCTCGCCCCAACGGCGTTTTTGCACTCTCTTGGGCCCATGCGACAGCTCAAGAGGACGTTTCAAGTTGAAAAAAGATGGAGAATGTAGGCAAGTGTGTTTGAACAGACACACGCCACTTGCGTTAGGTCCCCTCCTTTGTATTATTTTACAATGGCCTCGGCATTCTCTCCTTCCCTCATGTTTTCTACTCTGACCTGTCAAACGTCGACAAAAAATTAGAGTACCCTTCATTTTATTCTAGCACTTCTGTAGTTGTGAATGCGTCTCCAATGATGGGCTCTTTCAGTATTTTCATTGTTATTCTTCAATTTAAAGCAAGTTTTTCAGTTGGGAAATTATAAAACAAGGAGAGTAGCGTATACAGAGGGTCCTGAAATTAGTTTATTATCTAAAGAATGACTGGTATTATACGGAAATATCAAAAGATCACCGCACGAAGGAGATAATTTTGCACAGAATAAGTATTTTTCCATCCTCTCTAATATCCCTCATCTACAAAATGAACCGACAATTCATAAAGTCGTCACTGCACGGTTAAAAGGCTGTAACTCTAACTATTATTTCATTCCAATTAAGAATTTCAAAGTTTGACAATACGCAGAGAACGTCAACTACCCAGATAGAAAATACCCGTGTTGGACAAACGGGACAAGTGTGGTACAAGCTTGGACTTGCTGTGTGGGGACCAGGATTTTAGTCCCAGGGCTGAAGTCGAAAAAAAATGAGGCGGGATGAATATAAATAACTTGCAGTGGAGATTCCGCATTGCACGGTAGGCTAGTGGTTAGGGCAACTTATTGAAAATGATAAAGTTTATGAGTGTTAGATTTAATTGAAGTGAGAGAGTTTATTTTTCTCTTTTTAATTCAATTGAAAATGGTTAGTAACACCAAAATTTGGAATTCAATAACATTTCATAATGGAGTCAAAGTTAAAATCTGAAAAAATTCTGTTATTCAGTGAATTGATATCCGATGATGTTGACTCATGTGTTTCTCTTCTGAAATTATTTTCACTTATTTGTAACAATTTTTCCTCCGTGAACAATCGATATAATGGAATCGTGATCGTTTCAATTTTTTGGGAACATTTTCACGAGTCAAAATTTTTTGTCCCTCGAAATTATTAATCATTTATGTCAAGAGAATATGAATATGAAGTGAATAATAGAAATTACGTAAAACAAAAGAATGGAATCGTAATGATTTTTCATTCATTGATAAAAATTAGTTAAGCTTTAAGAGAGCACAGATAAATTTATTTCGCATGAAAAAAGGGTAGAGGGTGGTGAGGAATATTATCGTTTACCGAGAAGGGAGATGGAAAATAAGAAATACTGGAAAGCATTATATATAGCAGGTTTTTAAGAGACACTTTCAGAAAAACAATTACTTTATTAATTACAACATCGATATAACAGAGAATTTTGTCTGAAACACTTTCGATCACGCATATTTCACGTGATTTTTCCTTCATATGCGGCACTAACATGGTAGAGATGAGAGGGAAATTACCATCTGTACTCGATTAATGCAAATATTAGACTGTCGTAATCGCAGAAACCATATGCGAATGAAATATCGAAACACTTGCATTGCTTTCATTTTCAATTCGGAGAAATACGTAAAGAAATTAGGAGAGAGGCTGTTGATGGTTTTGGTGAGAGGGGAAGGGGGGACGTTACGCACCGCGCGACTTTGATGCTCCCTATGTGGAAGCCGAAAGATGCCTTCGCGATGGCCAGTTGGCACAAATATGGATTTATATTGACACGATTTAATAGTATATTATTTTCTCATTATCTTACTATATGATGGTAATGCTGGTGAATATGTATTTGGCAATAATTATTTTGTATCGCTGAGACCGAGATCCGAACCCGACTCAGCGGGTTGAAGATCCATCGCCTTACGGACTAAGCCAACCCGATCCTCCGACTGGTCGCTAACGGAGTTAATATTATCATAAGTAATTGAGAGCCTTTGGTATGGTTTTATGCATTTTTTAACTAAAGAAAATATCAACGCTTTTATTCGCTTCCCTACTAGAAATTTCATTCGGCAAACCCTCCGGTCCTGATGAGGCATGCCGAGCGTAATGTTCGGTGCTAGTTCGGTCAGCCGGATTCGGCCCGGACCAAAAGCGTTACGCGTTTTTCAGGTTCGGGCCAGACGAGGTTGACCGTACTCGTGCCGTGTATGGCAATTAGGTAGGGCCCTAACTCGGCTGGGAGACGGGGAGGGGGGAAAATGGGAACTCGAATTGGTTTGTAAAGTCAGGAGCTACTTTGAGGAAATACTCCAACCTTTCGACCAAAATTCAGTTTTTTTCAGGTTCGGGCCGGACGAGGTTGACCGTACTCGTACCGAGTACGGCAATTAGGTAGGGTCCTAACTCGGCTGGGAGACGGTGAGGGGGGAAAATGGGAACTCGAATTGGTTTGTAAGGTCAGGAGCTACTTTGAGGAAGTACTCCAACCTTTCGACCAAAATTCACTGTTTTTTTATGGCAAATTGTTGATCGGATTGACGCGAGAAAATATACCATTTTGCGTTTCATCCTTATTTAATAACTCCCGCAGTTTCATGGTGGTGCAATCATTCTCCTGTGGTTTTTCTAAAGTTTTGTGAATTTTCGAAAAATTCGGAATAAAACGCAGGAAAGTGATTGCACGATCACGACATTGTTCGAGTCATTAAGTAATGCATTACAAAAATGCAAAAGTATATTTTTTCACGTCAATCTGATCAACAATTTGTCAAAAAAATGATAAAAACGTGAATTTAAGCAAAAAGGGTGCAATACATCTTCAATTGTTTTCAACTCAGTTCTTTTCAACTCTTGGAAATGCTCTGAATAGTATCTATGAATTATTATTCTGATATTGGAAAATCTCAATACAAATAATCCTGATAATCTTTTTGTAAATTCTTTTAAACATGAACATCATTTAGTATTACTCATCTTAATTATTAATGACTTATAATTAAAACACATGACTTTGATCTTTTTAGACGACTTAGTTATTTCTTCCATCCCCTCGATCGTTTGGCGAAAATATCACTTTTCAGGGAGTATGTCTTCCATAGATCCATCACTTAGTTCTGCATTGCTAGATTGTTTTGACTTCGTTCGTTTTCCTCGTTTGGATCGTCCACCCTCCCAATCTCCAGAATTGTTCAAGACACCCTTCAATGCGTCATTGAACTTCTTACGATCAAGCGGTTCTTTCTTGGTCCCAAGTTTGAGGCCGAAAAGAGCTGAGGGAAAAAAAAGTATGAAGTTATCATCCCATCAACAGAGACAATGATCAATACACAGAGAGAAAAATTTTCTGGTTTCCAAAACCTCGGTTCCGGAATCCAAAACTTTTTTTCTGGTTTTCATAGAAAATTCTCTGAAATCCAGGAGAAATGTCACTGGAATCCAGAACTTTTTGGGACTGGATTCCAGTACCCTGTAGCGCCAAAGTCCAGAAACTTTTTCTGTGTACGATTGATTATTTTAATGGAAAAGACCATACCAACAAGACGCGAATAGAATTTTAGTTCCTTGAAGACTTCTTTACCCTCCATCTTTTTCAGGGGAGTTAATTTATTACCCACATTCTGAGTCAGAAATTTGCGAATAATCTCGCCCAAGTTTCGGGAAATAGTACGCTCTTTATCGATGTATCCATGTATTCTTTGGCACTGCAAAAGAAAAACAGCAATATTTAACATTTTTTAATAAACGATTACTGTAATGAATCAACATACTGAGAAAAAAAAATTACAATCTTTTTCTGTATGCTTTATCCACTTGTAGCTGTCTGTCAAAGATTTTCAGCTCCGCTAGTGTCTTACACGGGAGTTTGAAACCGTCTCTAACCTCATCTCCTTCTGATTCTGTTTCAAAACCATCAACTAATTGACCTCGTTGGGGGACAGTCCTGAGATGAGCTATTTCGTTTTTTATTTCTACAACTTGCCCCTTAAGACGATCTATTCTTTGTCCATTCATGCGCACATGTCGACAACAGTTGATCATGATCTCTTTTAAGGTTCCTCCTAAAAAGAAAAAAAACCCGGTGAATTGGCCTTGCACCCTCCAAGTGTGAAGAAGTAGACTTTGGAAAAAGATTGACAACCAAATGATGTACAATTGCAAATTTTTCCTTTGAAAAAAAAATGTATCTTTCAAGTAATTTTCTTTCTTCATTAATTTTTTTCTCTGGTATACTTTAGACACTTACTGATGGAGTACAATCCCTATGAATGAGAATTCAATTTTTTTCATGATCCAAAACAAAAAAAAAATTATAGCCTACGAGAACGAAGGTCTCAAACGAGAAAATTCATAATGGATGGGATTCATAATAGTTTTTCCCCTTTGTGATATTTCTAGACGAAGTTAAATTGGCTTATTTTTTCTTGAGGTACGAACAATGGATGAAAAAAAAGTCCAGTGTTAATTTTATCCTGTCCTCTTCTATTTGGTAAATAGTCCCTTACTTTTTCATTTTTATTTTATATCTTTCATTTTTTCACTTGGAGAATTAGGAGCCAGTTTAACTTTATTATCTGTGAAAATATCAATTTAAAAAATTACAAAATACTGAAAATACGTAAAACAAAAAATTTCAAAAGGGTAATTTAGCTAAAATTCTCTGTGATATGAGCAAGTAATGAAGAAGAGAGAGAATCATTCGATGGAAAATGCAAAGGAAAATTGTACATGAAACCTCAAATTTAGAAATTTAATGAATTTTAAGTAATTCTTGGGAATAAAAAATAAATATGTCATTGAAAGTTTGGATGAGAGTCAAAGGGGTGTTTTGTCTTCAACACACAATCAAGACATATTAATGATCCATTTTTATGATTTTTCGAATACAATTGTCACAAATTTCCCCTAAAATTTGGACTTTAAAACTCAAATCCTTTGAAAGTTGATTAAAAATTCACCGGAGAGGATGATCAATGCATTGTGAAAAAGGAAAACATACGCCAAGTGCCTTCGATTTCTAGAATCTTTTCCATAGACAGATGAAAATGATTGTACCTCATCTAAATAATTTTTTCAGTAAAATAATAACAGAATTGCATTCTAAAATTGTTCCTTATACTAGAGATTAATGTTTATGCATTTAAAGGGAATCTAATGTTTCGCTTTAAGGAAAATTATCCAATTGTTTACACGGATAGAAGAACATATGTCATTAACACTTCTCATAATAGAGAGGAATTTGTTGTTGTAGCTTTGAAGAACTTGAACAAATAATTTTTTCGTATACAAAGGTCCCCATGAGATTTATTTTTGAATTGATGATGATAACGTCTACATGATGTGCATATTGTGTATTTTATTTGTGAATAATAACCGCGGTTAATGATTAAAAATTCAATGAACGCAAGAAAAACAAGATGGTCGATCAAAGTCTAATTTTCGTAAAAAAATTGAATATCGAAAAAGTTAATTTTTCGCACGTGATAAAATTCAGAAAATTAACGAGACAAAATCAGGTCAAAACTAAGGTCAAAAGAGGTACAATACTAGACTAATAAGCAGTGATATCCTCCATCTACTATAATCTGTTCTCCACAATTTTCAAGAATAAAAACTTTGGAAGTTCGCGTCATTTATCGCAAAGATAAAAAATGAAACCATCATTAAAAACTGAAAAAAAATTAAAATCACATGTGGGCATCACTACGGAATGCAAACATTTGTTTTTTTTTCCCAGCAATTTAAACAACTTTCAGAGTCATTTCATCATTGCAAATGCAGAACCCATTCACAAAGAAGGCGATTAAGAATTTCCCTCTTAATTTTCAATTCTGAATTAGAGGAATTGAAACTGTTCCACGAGATCACCAATATTTTAAAGACATTTAAACAAAGAAAGTGAATAACACGTACCCTCGTCTTCTAATCCATCTCCCTCTAAATCTGCAACGTGTTCTGGGAACGAGACTTTTGATCCTCCTGACTTAGCAGAGTTGCTGGTTGAACTCTGTGGCACGTATCCTTTGGGCAAGCCTTGAGGTGATCCACGTGAATTATTTCCTGTTATGAGTCGATTGCTGACATCCTTCAGGGGAAATCTTGGACTAGGGGTATCCATTGGCTTCGGAGATGTCCCAGAATGAACAGAAGATGAAGAGTTCGTCGAACGATTTGGAGACGGAGGTAATTTTCGACCTGATCGTTTGGGCTTATCGTTTGAATCTGCTGATGATTCGTGTGATGTCTTTTGTGGGGTAGATGTTAACATATTATAATCATCTCTTCGATCCTTAGATGGTCCAGGCACGGTCGGGTCTTTCAATTGGTCAACTCCCTTACTCCGTGAGTTCTGGATGATTGCGTTCACTTCCACATGTTGTGATATCTCTGCTGTGTTAGCCAATCCTTTAGATCGAGAACGTTTATTATCCTGAACTTTTTTAATTTTTTTTTTGTGGAGACACATGAGGTGAGGATGTCTCTGAAGAAGTATCCGGGCAACTCAGTCTACGTTTTGACGGTTTTGACGAAGATAGGGAGACCTCAAACGTGCTGGTGCTCCCATCGGCAGATGACACTGATTCCTCCAAATCCGTAACAGGATCGCCATCCACCTGCTTCGATGTAGTTCTGCGTATAGCAGCACCATGCAATTTGGCACCTGATGAACTTGTTTGTTTTTTGAGATCCTGTTGTGCTTCCTCGAACAATTGTGACATTTCCGCAGATCTACTCTTTACTCGGCGTTTATATTTCTCCTTCTCGATAAAACCTTTCTGCTCGGGAGAAACATCGGTGTCGGAAGTGAAAGCGAAGCTTTGCTTGCTGAGGATGCTCAGCTTCTCTTCAAGATCCTCATAAGTTTCTTATGAAAAAAATAACAACAGAATGCAAGAAAAACGAAATTACTCGAATAATGATCTGCTGAAATGAATCACAAAAACAATCAGAAATTTTTTATTTTTTGCTCATTTCGATTATTTAATTTCTATAAAAAATGAGTCGGAGTTGTGAGGAAATAGAATTTATCATGAGAGTTATTCAGAGTAACTATATCGAATGGATAGATAAATCGATTTTCCAATATTTCAATGGAAACACATTATTAACTTCCCGACCCGAAGCGAGGAAGTTATTGAAAATTTATTCACCTGCTATTCCTCGAATTTCCACCTCATGAACTGTCCAAGATTTGTCGGGACCTTCATTAGCCTTTATCATCGCTTGAATTTCTTCGCGCCTCTTATGATCATGAGACTGTGTCTCAGGGTAAAACGAGAAAAGTTTGTCAACACTTGGATCATAATAAATCCACGTTGAAGGTACGCCATCGATGCTTTTCAGTCGTCCTCTGTCTCTTGGAAAAACTACACACTTGTATTTTGGGATCATTGTAGACACACTAATCTGTGGATACATAGGACATAATATCACTGTACATAATTGCACTGTAAAACATTGAAGACAAGATTGAGATCCACCGAGATTTGAAAAGAAAAAAATGACAGAAACATTGGAGGTTAAGTGGGTCTGGGGAAACAGTCTGTCATTTCCATCTAACAAACATTCTAAAAATTTTCAATATATTTTTTTCATGGAAAAATTTATAGGTTACAAAAAAACGATCTTTTAAACGGGAATTCATGATGAATGAAGGTTTCAGAGGTTAACTATCTTACCGTTAGATAAAATGCACACGTATTTTTTCATTAAATCAACGGGAACGATTCACTTTGAAACAAACGCCTTTGTCGGGCAAATTATTAATCGTTCGAGTGAACAATCAATTCTTATCACATCTACGAAAGACATTAACAAAGTAAAAATACAATGGAAAATGCCGGTGGAAGCACAAATACCGGTGAACACAAGACGCGGCATAAAAGCGTCACAACGCTGAGACTCAGTTGGGTGCCATGACGCCATGTCAAAGCCTGCGCCATCTTGAGGTACTGAGGATTGATGGGTTAGAAATTTAAAGAACTAATTTTTTTTTCAGCTTAATTACTCTTAATTATTTCAACTGGTTAATTGATCACGTGAAACCTGGACCAATGCGATGAATAAAAAAAAATATGACGATTTGAAGAAATAACATGTTTCTATTTTTCCTCGAATCGTTCATTGAACAAATTTACCACAAATATTATAGAGATCAATATATATTTTTTTTTCTTACAAATTATTTAATATCCCATTATTCAGTACCCCATTAGTGGGAATATTGGGGAATATTGAAATGCAGCAACAACAAAGATCCTCGATCATAAAAATAAAACACGTGTGAGATTATATCTCGTCGTTCTTTTCTTGTTTCTATCAAGTTAAGTAGAAAATAAATTATTGAATCTGACAGTAGATTCATTGACTGTATAATTACCTTCGAGCAAAATCAGCCACGTCGTACCGGCGAGAAAAAACACTCGCCACAAAATTGGACACCAAAATCACTGACACTTCAAAAAATGTTTTCTACATCAATAAACAAGAGATTGCTAGTCCAGGCCTGAAAAATTTTCCCAAAGAATAGTTAAAAAATGTTTTGATGGTTTTATGCAACCAATTATCCCTAACCAAAATGTTACATACCGATATTTTATCCCACTTATCAACGGAGAGAAAAACTTTCCCAGAAAGCAAATATATTTTGAAATGGAATAAATTCAGTTAAATAGAAACTGCATGAAGTCCAGTTTGAGAGAAAAACAATCGAAACTTGAGGAAATAAATTTCTGGATCCGAAGAGGTTTGTTATAACAATACAACTGCAAGGCCGGCTTGCTTCACCATGACAGTCGAATGTTTCAGAATTGTGCCCTCTGTGAATGGAAAATAATACTAATTTAAAACAAAAATGAAATTCAGAACATAAACTCAATATTTCAATCGATTTTATTGTAAACAGGGCATCGACGATATTCTAGATGAATTCTTTAAAAAAAAATCATTGTAATGCTTGGAAATTACATGTGTAACAATGGCATTGTATAAATCTTTTCCTTCTGTTTATCGCTCATGTCCAGGGTTACCATTTTTTGTGATACACAATTCAAATTACGAGTTAACAATTTCCTCTTATTTTTCTTCACACACCACATTTTGAGATCAGCGGAATCATAAGGGTACGTAAAAATAGATTTTGTTTTATCCAACTGAATTCCTTGAATTTGAATATTATCGAGTATTTCGTTGGGTGGGAGATATATTTCATTAATTGCTAAGAGTGTTCCATTGTTCTAGAGTACCGTATTATTCGGAGACCTTGGTGTGAGACTGATACCTTTATACATTAAACGCTTAATAATAATTTTTCCAGTCGAATCGGCACAGAGACTCTTCAATATTTTTGTCGAAGGAGATAAGGATGAAGGCTTACGAGGTTTAGCAAAAAATAATTCGTGTAATCGACGACATACTTGTGCAAGAGGCCTGTTACCTAACCTGAGAAGCTTTTTAATTTTCCCAAGTGCATTCTCGAATGGGAATGCTGAAATATAGTAGAGAGGGCATTGCATGTAGCTCACGTCATCAGCTAGATGTATCAAATTGTGTATATTTCCAATTAAAATGGGCTTTCCATATAATTTTGACGATAATTCCACGAATTTTGTAAAATAAAGTTCAGCGGATTCCCAATTCTTTAGAGCAGCTTCCTTCGAGCATAAAATTCTGCACGCTGCGTGCAGTAGTAGAAAATGTTTATAAATGTTTTCAGATAATATTTGTCTGAAGATTACTGGTCCAGCGTACAGGAGGATGAATTTAAATTCCACCGCTTTGAATAGCTCAATATTTGTTAAAGATCTCGTCGTTCTTTGGAATTCAGCAGGGATCTGTGATTGTAAAGCCACCAGATATTTGGATAAAAGCAATTGAGGATTTAGGCTCAATTTTGTCATCGATTTCTTGCCCGAAATCCAGTAATTCAATAATTTTTTCATCACCCCTAAACACAACAGATGCATAAAATCAAGAAAGAACATATGGATCATGTTTACAGCGGGTTTAGCCTTTAGCAAGGGAGAAACACCTGTGTGATGCTCGGGGTTACGTTGTTCTCGGAATGATTCATCAGTCCTCTCTTCACCATCAACACCAGGATAAATAACTCGATGCTGTTCGTATTCTCCCTTAACGGTGCACCTCTCGCAAGCCCAATATGCTCCATGCCCTTTGATTTTCTTTAAAAGGGCGCGAGCAGGAGTATCACAGACGAAAGCTTTGATACAAATTCTGAATAATCGGCCATTTATCATTAGTCCATTCGCGTGCAATTCATCGAGTTCATCGATAAAATTTCCTAAAAATTTTTCCACATCAGGTTTTTAATCCCCGAATATATGGCAATCGCAAAAGGTTCGTAAGAAGTCTCTTCCGAAAAAACTTGGTACAAAATTGGCCAAAATTATCTGGCGCTTGATCGAAACAATTGCATCCCATCAACATTGATAATTAAATAAAGTACATTTGTCTCGTGTAAATCAGGATTTATGGTTTCAATAAGGGAGTTGGTTACTCCAAAATAAACAAATTCACTATCACCAAATTTTTGAATGTTATAATCAGCTTTTTCTGTTTCAAGGAAAGTTTTGGTAGATGCTGGTAGTTCAGGCAATAATCTTTTTCTTAAAATTTTCAGTAAGCCATCCATTCGAGTGTGGGGAAGCCCTTCCCCTTCAACAGCCCACTCACGAAGTTGGTCAATCTCAGGTGCTTCAATTTCATCGTCAAAGTCGGAAAAATCCTCTTCGGCGAGACTCGCTTCACGAATATCATCTCCTTCAATGGACTTCTCGAGATCATCTTCGCCTTCTTCACAATCGTAATAATATTCAGGCCAGGTTCTATCATCAGTCTCATCTCTGTACTCTTTCACAAAATTGTCACTTATTTCACTCATACTTTTACCCATTCCACCACCTGTTTCCTCATCAGAATGAACTCTTGCATTCCTCCTTGAGGTTATGTCTGATCGATAAAGTTGACTCTCTTCTGATTCTCGATAGTCAATTGTTTGGGAGTTAGGATTTTTCACTAAGAGTAACTCATTTGATTCATTATCACTGAACAACTCGTTCATTAACTCATCATCAAATCTCCGATGATTGTCACAGGAACGTTCCCTCTGACGTTTTCGATGTTCTTTCATACGTAATCTTGCCAACTCACGTGTTCGCTTGACTGTCACATCATCCAGATTCATTTTGAGAGAAAGAATGAACAGAAGAATAACACTTGATAAAAATATCGTCTTTCAAAAGTAATAATTGTCCAACATTTATCGCTTATTTCTTATTTTTTTATAATAAGGTTACAGTATGAAATATATCAGCTGATCATCTACGTACTGAATATTTTGTTCACATGCAAGAGCGTATTAATTTGAGGCGTATCCTCATGATTAATTTTTTGGATTTTCATCTGTAGCATCCCTAAAGATGAAAATCATTTTTCAAACGGAAAATGTTAGCAATTCTAATAATCACAAGATCAGATGTACAGTTTAACCAACAAATTTGAGGTGATTTATGAAAATATTTATATTCAATTGTCTACGAACATCATGAATTTCACAGATTTACTGCAAGTTTTTCTTTTTCAGAAAATCATCACTAGAAACAATCTTATGGCAAAAACAGTAGAATTTCAATTTTTCATACAACTTTTTCTATTGAGACGTTTTCTTTAGAAATTCATCTGCATGAATTTTTCAAATTTCCCCTACTCTATGTTTCTTCTTTTTTTACTTAAAAAAATCCAACAGAAGAAATTTCAGTTAAGGAATTTCTGTAAACGATGTTTCCATAGAACCGATTGTGTAGAGAAACCGAATTCTATTCATTTTTTAAATGATAGTATTCGTTGACCGTTGGATGTTAATAATTAAAGGTATTATTTCTATTCATTTTTCTATAGAATATTTTTCAGTGAACTTTTCTATTGCAAAAAACTTGCAGATGAGTTGGGGAAATCTTCAACAGAAATCGATCAAAAACTAATAGAAACCTAAATAGAAATCCGATAGGATTCTCCCCCAAATTCGCAAGGTTTTTCCATCATTTTTTTTTCGTATGTGTCATGAGAGATTCGTTCAAAATGATGATATTTTGGGAAAATTCATCAACTCTGCGTGTTCAATCTATACAGTCTAAGTTGGGTTCGGTTGGCCTTATCTGGGCCTTATGAGAGCCAGATGAAGTATACCCTATTCGGCATGCCTGACAATACACGAGGCTTGCGCCGAATTCGGTGGAGCCGGATGGGGTATGCCTTATCTGGGCCTTATGAGAGCCAGATGGGGTATACCCTATTCGGCATGCCTAACGAAAAACGAGATTCGCGCCGAATTCGGCGGAGCCGGATGGGGTATGCTTTATCTGGGCCTTATGAGAGCCAGATGGGGTATACCCTATTCGGCATGCCTAACGAAAAACGAGATTCGCGCCGAATTCGGCGGAGCCGGATGGGGTATGCTTTATCTGGGCCTTATGAGAGCCAGATGGGGTATACCCTATTCGGCATGCCTAACGAAAAACGAAACTCGCGCCGAATCCGGCGGAGGTTAGATCCGGCATGCCGAATGAAATTTCTAGTAGGGTTGTTTCATATGTATTAAACTGTTCAGTTTGTAATTGCTTGCCTCAAATGGTTGATGAAATTGGAGAAAAATGAAAATTGAAACTCGTAAACATGTTCTGAAAAAAAATCCGAATGCTGAATAATTCATCATATCAATTGTTCACAACAGAATAATTGTTACGGATGATTGAAAATTATTTTGGAACGTGACGCATGAATCAACATCATCAGATAGCAATTTAATCAGAATTTTTCCAGATTGTTACGTTGATTATATCGGGAAAAATTAGTGAATTTGAAATTTGATTTGTAGTTAACTATTTACAATTGAAATGAAAAAAAGAAAAAAATTCTCTCACTTCAATTAATTCTAACACTCATAAACTTTACCATTTTCAACATGAAAACTCGAATATTCGAATTGTTAATTACGTTCAAGCACTCAGTTTCTTTTTCCCTGGTGTATTTCTTATAAAAATGAACTTACTCATTGTGGGACCCCTTAGAATAGGTCGACCCCTTAGAATAGGCCATCTTCATTCCTGATATTTCTGACCCATAATACTACAATCTGAAGGGGTCGCAAATAAAATTCGTCTTCCTCCCGAACACCCGACTGTATATATGTAAGTATGTGTATAGTTGTGTGTGTTTGTATATCCAGAACTGTCCCCATAACTTGCAAATGATTAAGGCTAAGATGCTGAGACTCAACTCTGTGCCAAATTTCAGCTCGATTGGTTGGGCGGTTCCTGGGATATAGCGATGGTTTTATAAAAAAATTGCGCCAAGGAATAGTTTGTAACGTGACATTTTTGCATGGAGGTTAAAAATGCCTACTACATTCGCCCTTCCTCCCCCTAAATCTAATTAACTCAAAATAAAATGAATAATGGGCGCCAGATAATTTTTAGCCGGAATTATCAAACCGGAAGTGCACGAATTTCGAGTCCCAAATACTCAGAAAATTCCTAAACGACAAACCAAAAACGAAGAGAACTGGATTTTCGGGGAAAGGTAACGGTCCTCGGTTCGCTTAGTGTGCTAGGTTGTGGACAGGGGTGAATTTCAGGTGGAGACGGGTTATTGGGTGGTCTAAACTACAAAAAAATGAAGAAATCCACATTGTCCTTATTTGTTTCACTATTGAAGTTTCCAAAATTAAATAATTTACAGGATTTTTACATTTTAATTTCAACAAAAAGAAAAGGACGATTTGCAATAATAACCAGTATTCTGTCAATCAATCAAAAATAATAATACTAACTTGAAATATCTGGTCCCGAAAATAATCAATTATCGATTAACTCTGTTGTAAAGTTGAGGTCATCAAATTCCTCAAGTGGCAATATCCGAATATAATGCGTTAATTCCTAAATCCTCGTGAATTCCAAGAATCGGGAGGAGAGATATATCGACTACCGTGAGAGTGAGAGAGAGAGGAGATAAACCCAGCGATATACGTATAACGTACTGCGGGAAATAAAAATTCGCTAAAACAAAACTCGCCGTAGCGGGAAACCGGTAGAGTAAGATCCGAAAGACCCAGAGCAAATATATTCGGGAAAGTCTGGAGAAGCCAACGATACCAAAATTATCAATTTTGGATTCTTGGAAGCCAGTCCGGGTTGATTAACAACCGGAGGGAATTCTCAACGACGGATTACGTGTGGGAAGCGAGAGCCGCAGCTTGTAGGTGCGAATGGGTGTTAGTGGGGTGACGTGAGGGGGAAGCATTCATGGGGAATGCTTGAGCCGCTCTACGTGAATGTCTCGTAGAGGGGGAGGGAAGGCTCTCTGCCACGGGAGCGAGAGAGATAGCCGAATGGAGAATTCTCCGATGGGAAGTACGCAACCGTTTTCAACAGCAATAAAACGTCCTCTAAACCACCCAAAAAGGGGGAAAAAATCGTACCGGCCCTAATTAACCCTCAATATTTAAATTATTGGGGGAATGATCAACACCTCCGAGTTACTAAAATATAACCCAGGGAATTATTCTATTATCTCACAACTCTACGAGTGGCGGAAGGCCGACACGAGGGAACCGAAACCATTCCAAAATGGCTCGGAAAAGTAAATCAATTACTTAGGCCCCAAAACTCACGTTTGATATTCTCCTATTCCTCTTTGGCGTTTTTCTCACCATCTTGGGTCGCTAATAATCCCAATGGACACAAATGACAAATTCTCTCGCTGTACGTACTTGATCCGGTTAGGTTAACAGGTAACACAGAACTAACTCGACTCACGAGCGTCTTGAAGCCGTTCAGAGTGCCGAATTCACCGCTCAATCAAAATGATTTTGATTGGTGCAGATACACCTACTTCCGCGAGGTCCTTCCGTAAGACCCCGACTTAATTCTAACAATTTAACTAAACGAAACCAATAATTTAACTGATTATTTGACCGGACGAAGCCGAACAGATGAATGTTCGGATAATTACTGAGGGTTTTTGGTGCCTCCCACGGATTGGTTCTCCGGGATTCACGGGGTTAAAAGACCAATAACATCAAATTAACAATTATTTCGATTTTGTTTTCTGAACTAAACTTTAAAGCAACCTGGCAATTCGCCAGAGATAAGGGTTGCACTTGCTCCAACGACCTTCCACCAAAAACACAAAATGTAACCGTTTAACCCCGTAAAATCCAAAAAAATTTGGAGCGCCGGTATTGCAACCTGACCCAATCGAGTTTCCGCGGGATTAACAATAGGGTTGACCCCATAAAAATTACCGGATGACTCATAACTTGGCCCTTCTTTGCGATAATTTCATGGACCCTCGAAAACGCGTAACTAATCAAATCTCGCCAATTAATACAATAAACAGATGCGAATTCAGTTATCGCGGGGATAAGCTAACATTTTGCCACTTTTTAGTGGAACCCTGAACAAAACTCTCTCTCTCTTCACCCTTTACTCACGGATCGTCGTATAATGTCGCAAGGGTAGGTTGTTATCAGATCGTTTGGTGTTCCTAACGAACATCCCCACATGTTCGTGACAAGTTTAGTTCAGTTTTTATTGGAAAGCTTAATTTTACAAAAAATAAACATAAATGAAAAAGAAAGCGAAGTCAGGAGTCTCTAATAAATGGATATAGTACACGATCAGAGTTCTGTGAAAAAAAAAATAGTTCTCAATAGAAGAAGAATTTTTAGAAAATTCTTTTTCTATTGAGAACTATTATTTCTTACAGAAATCTCATCGTGTACTATAAATCTCATCGTATACCCATTTATTTGAGATTCCTGATTTGGCTTTCTTTTTTATTTATTATTATTGTTTAAAAATTTAAGCTATCTAGTAAAAACTGAACAAAACTATTTCTTGGCGCAGTTTTTTCACAAAAATATTTGTTTTCATTTTTTAGGGAGATTTCATTGAGTTTTTCAAAATAAGCATAGAATTGTTTTGATATCATGAGAAAGTTGTTCTCTTCTACTCAACTCTTTTTTTTCACAACATAGAACATTCTTTCAATTGTTAACTGAAGGAAAACAAACAGTTCTACTCCAGATTCATTGGTTTTACCGACTTTTGATCATTTATTCAGATTTGAGACTTAGTTTGTTTTTCCCATTCAATTTTTTGTTTGATTTTCTACGGGAATTGTATT